AAAAAGTAATACTGAACCCATCCTGAAGTGTGAAAAAGTGCAAACATTTTAAAAAATGCTCTCTCACTTGACAGAATCCATAACTTGAGTTAAAACATATTTCTATGAAAAGTTAAAGAATATTTTCTGCACCATTTCCAATATGGAAATTCAATGAAAGTTCCAAAGTACTAGAATCTCCAATAAAGCCCCATCAATGGATTCATGTCTTTAAAAATATTAAAATGGTATTAACAGATCTATGTTTAAAACTGATTCATAAAAAAGATATATAGGTATGTACTGTACTTGCCAAAATGTATTTAATAGGATGGTCATCAATTTTTCTATCCTAGTTCTGTTTAGCAGAAAGCCTCATTGTATCTCTCAAATTTCACTTATTATCACTTTTTGTATCATTTATCTCAAAATTACACCAAACATCTCTCCAGGCATGCTTTAGAAATGGACTCCCCCCTCTTTAAAAATGTATTTCCCTCTGTATTTGGAAGCAAAAGTATCATTTTTCCAACCATTAAGCACACATGCAGTCTTCAGCTTTGTTGATAAATCACACTGCCACTCCCTAAGCAAACCACATGCATCTTTTAATATTTCTCCAGCTACATCATTTATACCTGCAGCCTTACCATTTTAAAAATTTTTATATCTTCATTTATACCTTCATTTCATCTTTCTTTTTCTTGGACACTAACATTTAGAGTATTTGTTTCAATTCCCTTCTTCTACATATCATATTCATTCCCATGAAGTTATCTAAAATACTTCTTCAAATATTCCCTCACTTCAAGTTCTTCCTCCGAAAGTCAGAGCTGTCAAAATGTGGAGTAAGAAGTTGTTTATATAAACAGAGTATAGAGAAAAGCACAGCAAATAATCCCTTACAATGTCCTTAAAACAGGACAAAATTGCTAAGGATTGAAATTTCATTCTTTAAAATTCTGTAGAAGTAGATTTTGTTGCTACAATAATTATTTATGATAATAATAAAGCTTATGTATTCCAGTTGTGTTCTTTTTTCCCTATGAAAATTCCAGTGTGCATCTGCATTTCAAGAGACAATTGCTGCAGTGACCTAGGAGTAATCTAGGACACATTGCAAATTATTTCATCATTTTTAATTCCATTTGCTCTTCTGGAGTCTTCTTTTTCAGCTCTCTTCATTCATTTTCAAAACAATTATTTCCATCTACAGTAAATCATTCTCCATTTTCTTCCTTTCCTTAATTGTATCTATTCTTTGCTCACTTTAGCTACATTTTTGCAACTTTTTCTCTGTGCATATTATATATTTCTCAATTTTTTTGCAGCAATAATTCTTATTTTCTGTTTTCCTCATCCACAGCTCCTTCTTCATCATCATCATTCCATCAAGCATTTTTTCCTGTTTCCCATTAGAATGCCTTCACTTGCTTATGCAGATCATTGTAATATTTTTCTTTTCACTTTTGGGAGATACTTTTTTTCATACTAAGCTCTTACTTTCTTTTCTGAAGTCCTTTTATTGTCTTTCTGGTTTCTTTAACTTTATTGCTTTTATTCCATATGTAACTTTTTCCAAAGATCTACTCTTGACATTATCAAGAAAATAATCTAGTTTCACATTTGCACTATGTATCTTTCACTTATTCTCTCATGTTTTTCATAATAATTAGTCATGTAACAAAACAGATCTATGTTCATTTTCTTAAAATACATAAATACTTAAAGACATGAATCGTAACTACCCCGAAATAACCTCTAAGATCATGAAACCTTGAAAGTAACTTAAAGGTATAACCTTTACCACGTCTTTTATAAGAAATTGAAAAGTATCTTTATACAAAATTGAGTTCAATACCTAAGACAGTTCACTCTCTCGTAAAAAATTTTACAAACGTGAAAAAGTGTGAAGTCCTACCCAAGTCATAATGAAAAATAAAAGATAAACAGATGAAAACTAAGAAAAAAACAATATAAAAATATATATAATAAGAAAGTCCAGAAAAAAAGATAAGAAAAAATCCATTGCTCCCTCCCCGAAAAATAGTAAGAAAAAGAAACTTCCCTCTTCATCCTCAGCAAGTATATTCAACATTAACTATTTATCACTGTCTTAAAATTACAGTAAGAATAATCTTTATTCCATACTTCACTCCATTTTCTATAAATCTCTAAATCTTCAGCTCTTTACTGATCAAGATCCAACTAAAATACCTAATAACGTAAGTATTTAATCTCTTTTTATTTAATCTAAATTCCCCTCATCCCTCTTAACAATTCAACATTACAAACCATAATAAAACTGAAAGTTGCTAAACATTACCAGAAATAATAGACCCCTATTTATATATCAAAAATGATAATGTAAATATTATAAATTCATTATATTATTTTCAAAAGAGAAACTATCCAATCCAGATAAATATTAAACATCACCAAAGATAACTTTAACCACAGTGAAATAAACCAGTTTTGAGATTATTTTCTTTCTTCACACCAATATTGCATAAATAAAATTCTAACTCTTCTTTTTTTTCTAGTCTCTTTGTCCCTTCTCATGAAGTTCTTGTCATCTTTATCCTAGTCCATTTGTAATTTCCACGAAGTAACTCTAGTAAATCTCTTATATTTTAATTAAAAAGGCTACATTATTTGTAGGCCTTTTTTGTTTTTTAAATGATCATCCAATCCAATTCCATTGGTAAATCCAGTATTTCTATTTTTACTTGTTAGTTATAATTTTAAGTCCATCTTAATGTCCATTTCAGTTGTCTTCAAAGGAGTTTGTTCATCTTCAAGAACAACTTTTAGTTTAGTAAAGAGTTAAAGAGCCCAAGTACTTCACAAGCTCACAAATCTAACTTTTCCTTTAAAGTAGCCATCATGTGCTTTAGTAATCAATCTTCAAAGTTTTGTTTTGCATTGAAAAGTAAACAAAATAGATTTTTCTCACATGAGAGAATCTTTCTAATTAGTTTCAAAATCTTTCTCTAAAGCAGTCACCCAGCAATTTGTAGGCTCGCAGTTCTGAATGTTTTTCCATCTTAAAGAGGCAGTACAAAAATAAACTTCAAAGTTATTAAAAAGATTAGATTTGGTCAAACTTTGAGTCCATGAAAGATTTCATTTATGGCTTAGAGCATGATTGAACCCATGACCTTCAGCTGATTGCAAGCAGCTGCAAAAATGTCAATTTCTGCTATTTGTTCACAAAAATCAACTGTGGGAGAGTACATATTTACAGTCTCCAGAGTTGTCTTTGTTCTAGAGAATTTCAGCAGTCTGGATTTTAGATGTCTGCCATAATTCTCCTGTAATCCATGTGGAGTGGGAAAAAATATGTGTTTCAGCTTATCTTGCCTCATCTGATGTCTGAATTCCGGTCCTTTTTAGTGAAAATATTTACAGTCCATGAAATAAAACATCATCTGGAATGTTGTTTGAGTTGAAAATGAATTATCTTAAACTTTGTTTCTTGGCTTATTTATACATAAAAACAACAGGGGTGCCAGATTACTTTTAATAACTAAATGAAATGAGTGTTCAAAAAATAACTCTTAGGACTTTCAGAAGCACTGGAAATTATTGAAACTAGCTGTCTGAAAAGATGTTAGGTAGCATTATTGATTCCTTAGTAAAGTTTTATATTTCTTTTGAAATATAACCATGGAAACAAGCAGATAAATAAGATTTTCTTTAGAATTAGCCAGGAACTTCTTTTTGGAAAGAACAAATGTAATCCAAGGAAAGTTGTTCTGTTTGCAGTAGTGCAGAAAGAAAAGGAAAAGCGATAATTGAAGAAAAAATGTGATGATGTGGTTCTCTTAGTAAATTGAGAACAATGACCCTTGAAGGACCATAAAGAAAGTGAATGTCAAGCTAATTTATTATTGTTACATTATCTGTCCTAACTTTAAACTTGTCTTACTGAGTTGTTAAATCCTAGCCTGATACCAAATGCACCAAATGTTAATGACTATCTGAATAAATCCAACACTGTTAACAGTGCATTGTTTTTGTCTTCTGTCTTACCTATAATGTTCCACCTATAATGTATACATCTATATATCTTCTAATATCAGCTTACTTAAAATATAGCATCATTTATACAGGACACTGCATCTCCCTTCCTTATAAAAGGTCTTTGCCTCCATGCTTTTGAAACAAGAGGGCAAAAAATTTTCAGCATTTTCTTAATCACTACCTTTATGAAAGTTTACAATTAGGTCATGGGTGTCAAACTCGATCGCATCACATAATGTATTGTGACTCTTTTGCCTTTGTGGAGCCAGGATGGGTGTGGCCTGCACGTGATGCATCTGGCCCACAGGGCGCTAGTTTGACACCCCTGAATTAGGTGATAGAAGCAGCTGCTCTTTTAAAGCTTGTTCTTTTCTATATCTTTGATCTGCTTAACAATGTTTATGCTAGCCTGAATAGTAGTCATTAATCCCATCCTTTATGCATTATGAATTTGTTTTATCACCTTCACAGTCATCTGTGTCATTGGCATCAAATTCCAAGATTTAACAATATGCTGTTTAAAGAAATATTCCATTGGTTTATTTTGAGTTTTCCGTTATTAGATGACTCTTAAGTTCTAATATTTTGAGAATGGGGGAAAATCATTTTCTGTATATTCCATTTTTCCATACAAATATGCCTCTGTAGCTGTCTTTTTTAAAAATGAAAAGCTTCAAATCTTTCTTTATAGCATGAGTTTCCAGCTTTCTAATTTTTTTAAATTTTTTATTGTATTTTTCCCCCAGTTCTACAGTATCCTTTGTAGAGAATTATACCAAGTATTTCAAGGGTAGCTACATTCAAACGTTTTGCAATTTTGGTTGTTTTATTTCTTTTTCTTAATATTTAAAGTGGGGGTTTGAGTGGAGGTTCAACCATTTAAGAAACCCCCATTTGAATTCTTTGAAGCATATTAGTAAACAAATGCTGTTCAACTTTTGTAAACAATCATGACAGAATTAATTTTAGTTACTGGAAACTAACTGCTCTATTTGTTATTTTATCCTCCAGGAGAGCTAGTTTTTATGCCTGTCGGCTTGATAAGAACTTGTATGTGATTGGAGGGAGAAATGAAACTGGCTACTTGTCAAGTGTGGAATGCTATAATTTAGAGACAAATGAGTGGCGTTATGTATCTTCCCTACCACAGCCTTTGGCAGCACATGCAGGAGCTGTACATAATGGAAAAATCTATATTTCAGGTAAGCTGTTTCCTAGGTTCCATTTGATGGATTTAAAAATTTGGTTGAGCCCAAATTTTATTTTAAAAGCTGTAACTAATGAAGGTATATTTGATTTGTAGGTGGTGTCCATAATGGTGAATATGTCCCCTGGCTGTATTGCTATGACCCTATAATGGATGTCTGGGCTAGAAAACAAGACATGAATACAAAAAGAGCTATCCACACGCTGGCCGTAATGAATGACCGACTATATGCAATTGGAGGAAATCATTTGAAAGGTCTCTTTTTAAATAGCAAGATACTATATTTTTCTGATTTTTTGATCAAAAATTATTTTTTCTGTGTTAGCATAGAAATCATTCTTTGCTATCATATCACACATTATTCTGTGTTATCATGCCACAGACTTTAGTATCATCCTCAGTAGCATTTTGAGAAAGAAAAAACTATAACACCACATTAAATAAATGAGTAATGAATGCTTTAGATAATAAAAAAGAGAATTTTCATTACTCAGAATCATGGATGATTTGTCATCCCTGTGAATTAATTGTAACAAACAGATTATTATTGACCCAAATTCCCTACAATGTTTGCCTCTGTAAATTAGTTGCCATCATAAGAAGTTTTACAAGAGTTCCAAGGAGAGTTCCTAGATTTCAGGAAGAAACTTTAAATATTAAACTGCAACACATTTACCTGGGGACTTTTGAACTGGCATAAATACGCTTGATCTAAATTTGTTTTATTCATCTTAGCATTTTATTAGTGCTAAAAGCATGTATGTATTCACATTGCAAAACAAATTCTGCTACAATATTGGAGAAGTATATCTAAAATAATTCTGTCTGTAGCATTGTGGCCAGAAAAAGCAGAATTACTTTCAATGTTTTATCCATTCCCCTCCCCCCAAAATCTTGCTCCCATTAATTTAGGGAGAACACCATTGTGGTCCCAGTGACCATCAATTCCTGATTTTTTTTTAAATTTAAAACAGAAAAAAGATACAACTTACAACCTCAGAGTTGTATGTGCGCCTGGAAAAAGTCTTGATTATACTCTCTGGAACTGTTCCAGAAGTTCCTAGCAACTTGTCATTTAATGTGACAGAAGATAGAAATTATTGAAATGACAAAGAATAGCAAGAGTGATTAATTAAATTGAAGTTTAAATTAAAGCCAATCATGTTCAGCTTTTTTGGCCTGGCTTTTTCCAGTGTTTAGAATACTACTCCTGGGATGTTGAGCTTTTGACAGGGAAAAAACCTATTATTAAATGCATTTAAATGAAAGGGTCATTGACTTTAATTTTTGTAAAGTCAATCCAAATTATATTATGTTTTTTTACAGAATTTCTAATTTTTGGTTTACTTTGGTTTTATTCACAGCTCTCCATTTCATTTAATGCACTACTAAACTTTGTTAAAAGGATTGCATTTATATTATTCTCATTTGGAAAAATGAAATGTACGGGAGGGTGCAACTATCTAAAAGAAGACATTTCTTTTCAATCAGTCCGATGGGTTTGCACTGAAGAATTCAGGACTATAGCACATACATGCAATGGTTACATATATACGTGAGCCTTTGTGCTAACATCTTTTCCTCATGTCAGTGTTCTGTATCAATGTTTTTTACAGGTAGTCCTCAAGTTATAGCCGTTCGTTTAGTGACTGTTCAAAGTTATAATGGCATTGAAAAAAGTGACAACCAATCCTCATCCTTAAAATCATTGCAGCATCCCTGTTGCCTGATCAAAATTTGGGCATTTGGAAACCGCCACGTACAGTCCTCGACTTATAACCACAATGGAGCCCAGAATTTCTGTTGCTAAGTGAGACATTTGTTAAATGAGTTTTGCCCCATTTTATGACCTTTCTTGCCACCATTGTTGTTAAGTGAATCACTGCAGTTGTTAAGTGAATCTGGCTTCCCCATTGACTTTGCTCATCAGAAGGTTACAAAAGGTGATCACATGACTTTGGGACATTGCAACCGTCATAAATATGAGTCAATTGCCAATTGAATTTTGATCACGTGATTGTGGGATGCTGCAACAGTCGTAAGTGTGAAAACCAGTCATAAGTCACTTTTTTCAGTGCCGCTGTAATTTTAGTCACTAAATGAACTGTTGTAAGTCAAGGACTACCTGTATTTACAGTGGTTGCAACATCTTGGAGTCACGTGATTGCTAGTTGTGGCTTTCCCTGCCAGCTTCTGACAAGCAGTCAATAAGGGAAGCCAGATTAGTTTAATAACTGCAGTGATTCATTTTGCAACGATTGTAAAAATGGTCCTAAAATCAGATGTGACTCACTTAAAAACTGCATTGCTTAGCAGTGGAAATTCTGATCTCAGCTATGGTTGTAAGTTGATAACTACTTGTACAGAGATCTTAGGGATCTTTGGAATTTTACAATTCTTTTCAAGTGACATTACAACAGACTATATTTGTCTATAACATTGGTATTGCTTGTTTGATTTGACTGGAAACATTTTTCTTTTGCTCTGTTTTCAAAACCGCAGAATTTAAGAAGAGATTACAGATCTCTTATAAAGCAAACTGTATACATAAGAATATTGTCAAAGATAGAATTTACAAGAAATTCTTCAGTGCAAACTCTATGAAATGAAAAAAAGCTTTACTATAGGTATTCCTAATCCCTTTAAACCATGAAATCAAAATTCCAATATATTATGGGAGCAGAAAAATCTTTACTAACAGCCCTAGCAATTGTAGTTGTTAGTAATCACCATGTGTTTATTATTAGTATAACGGCCAGTATTTAAGAAGTTGAAGTTCAGTATAATATCCTATGATGATGAATTCATCATCCTATGATGATGAATTTCAGAAGAAAAACAAGGAAAAATTTGCAATGTTTTATTTTAACAGGCTCATTCCTCTTATCTCTAGCAATTTATAAAGATTGTCCTTTTATGCTGTTGACAAATTATTTTTTAATAGTGACCGTAGTCATTATTTTAAAATGTGTGGATTCAAATTATTTTATGAATGTGTGATACAGGTTTTTCTCACCTTGATGTCATGCTTGTGGAATGTTATGACCCAAAGGGCGACCAATGGAATATTTTGCAAACTCCTATTTTAGAGGGTCGTAGTGGTCCTGGATGTGCAGTCCTTGATGACAGCATATACCTTGTTGGAGGCTACAGCTGGAGTATGGTATGCATTAATTTGAACATGAAGTCTTAACTAGATCATCTAGTTACAATTTTATAGCATGCTATTTATTTATTTATTTATTTATTTAAGCAATTGTTTACTGCCACCTATCTCATGGCAGTGACTGTGCACAGAGGATTATAAACAAGACAATACAAAAAAAGTCACCCCATCCTAAGTAATAGTGCAGGTGAGAGTAATGGTACCAATAGAAGTAATAATAACAGAAAACATAGGATACAACTGGCCCCAAAACATTGCATTTTGAATCCATATATACCAAAATAAACTAATCTACACACACACACCCCAAGCATTTAAGCATTCCTATCCAACTATTTGAGGAAATATCCAGGTCTACAGTAGCTTGCCAAGGGTCAGGGCCATCCTGATCTCTAAAGGGATATTGCTTCATAGGGCCAGTGCTGTAACACAACTCCCAGGTCGCACAAGATGACATTTTCTAGGAGAGACCCAGATCATGCCAACCCTCTGGTACTGATGGGGCAAGCAGATATGTCAGGAGACAGATAATTTTGCAAATAACCTGGCTGCATGCCATGTAGGGTTTTATAGGTGACATCCAGCATTTTGAATTTAAGTAGAAAGTCACTGGGAGCCAGTGCAGCTCATACTAGACAAATCTCACCAAAAATATGGTGAGACGTAAACTACAGAAACACATGCCAGTTCAGTCATTGCCCGGTTCAACGTGGACCATACTCTACAGGACTCAGGACTCTAGGCTGAACAACCAGGACCAGCAGCTACAGAACTACTGGAATAAAAGGTGTTGAACTGTTGCAAATATAAAGTGATTGAAAATGAGGAAATAATGATCAGTTATTACAGATCAAGTCCAACAAGAAGACGATATTTGAAATGCATGCACCAGTTCTGAAAAGAACAACATAGAGAATCAGAAATAACAGAACAGATGTTATGGCAGACCGATGTCAATTTACAATACAAAGTATCCACAGAAGCAGAATTCAAAGAATTGCAAAGAACTTCCCAGAGCAAAGAAATCAAAGCCTTGCCAGAAGTAATTCACATTGTAGAGGTAAACCAAAGGAAGTTGTCAGTAGATGAAGGCTGCACAGCTATTGAACTGTTTTCATTCCAGTACCAGGCAACCTCTCCTCTGCCAAAGGAAAAAACAAAGTTCTTTAACTAAAGAAGTAGAAGAATCAAAACAAAGAATAACTAACATCTAGAATAGCACAACAACAATAAAATAAGGTTGCCTGCATTGAAGCTTGTTCCAAAGAAACAGCTAGCATAAGCATTAAAAGATGTGAGTACTGTAATATCAAATATAGGCATCAGGTCACTGCAAGAAACAAACTATCTAATCTACTCCATTATAATCACAAGTCCTGCAATACATTTGGGAGCAAGGGATGTTATCTAGTCATAAAGCTTTCCATCATCCCATAATATCTATGCAAAATATGCAAGCTGTGCTAGAATTTCTGTAATTACTGCATTGGCATATTCATTCTTTGTTCCCAATAAGCATTTTTGCAAGTTTCTTAAATCAAGCAGCAGTATTCTTTCGTGTCTAGAAAATAACTTTACATCCATCCTGTTGTCCTAAAGATATCTTATTAATTTGACAAGTCCCATTATCAAAACAGGTATTAGGAATTGTTTTGGGGGGGATATCTAGCAAGATAGCAACAACTTGTATGACCACTGCTGACCTCGAGGCGGTACAGCATCAGCCACTGACTCCGGCCATTTTCCAGTGGACTTTCCATAAAAAAGGTAGTGATATTAATTTAATTATTTTTCCCATTATTTATTATAAGCAGGTTCTTATTACTTTTTAACACTGTCCACTCTCAATCCTAAAATCCCACTGCCATTTTTAAAAATAAGTTCTTATAACAATAGCAGTAGCACTTAGACTAATATACTGCCCCATAGTGCTTTACAGCACTCTCTGGGCAGTTTACAGTGTCAGCATATTTTCCCCAACAATCTTGATCCTCATTTTACTGACCTTCAAAGATGGAAGGCTGAGTCAACCTAATGTCTGAAAGGCTGAGTCAACTTTAGGTCTGAAAGCAGATAGCTTGTATGAACATACCCTTTCGAGGATTAGTACATTGCAGGTTCTTGAATAATCATGAAAGAGCCTATTCTTTTCTAGTTATCGTTATCTACATTTTGAACTGGTGTTTTTCAGCTAAATAAAAAAGCCTCTATATTTTGCATTACAGGGAGCCTACAAATCTTCTACTATTTGTTATAGTCCTGAGAAAGGATCCTGGACAGAGCTCGAAGGGGATGTAGCTGAGCCACTTGCAGGCCCTGCTTGTTCTACTGTCATACTTCCTGCGTGTGTGCCATACAACAAATAAGTCCTGGAAATACAGAAGAGGACATTGATGCATTCAGGAAAGGAATGATGGGAAGCATAATTATTTTAAGGAATAGTTCTTTGGACCACAGGCCACAAGATCCCACTCCTACACCTGCATTTATGATTTTTTTTAAAAAAAGACTAAGCAAATCCCCATCTCAGATGAATTGGTATCTTGTCAGACAAGTAGGTTAGACGCATGGAACACTGCACATGTTGACAGATGGCCATTTCAGATTGATATTTTCCCTGCTGCAGACCCATATACTGATACTAAATTTAAAGAAGATGAACACGAACATTACTGTGCATTCTGTTTTACTGCATGGGATCTGTGTTGAAGTAACAATGATATTCCACTTGTAATTCAAAATTGAGGTACTGAAAAGCACTGAATTGCAGAATGGTCTCCTCCATTTCAGTTGTAATCCATGACTGCTTTACATACTCTGCAAGCAACAAACAGAAGAAAACTCAGAGATAATAATGTAATGCTTCTGTTGCAAACAAATTGATTGTCCTGATGAACTAACATGCCCTAACATTCTCATAATTAAGAATTGCAAAAAAGTTACGCAGCTTTCAGGATCTGTGCCAATCTTTAATGTTATTTGCAAGAGTATAAATCCAAAACAATTACTCCAGAAGTTCACAGATTCTGGTTTTCCTTCTTTCCACAGCATATGAGCATGTACTATTTAGAGTGTTTTTAAAAATATTTGATTAATGTTTAAAATCTTATAATTACAAATGCGATTTTGCAAAAATGGTAAATATTCTTTATTTTTCATTTCCAAGGACAAAATTCAAGTGCAGTACTTTTATAACATTAAGATTTTATGATATACACTATTAGCAAAGATTGGCAAATTTCCTAATTGTTTAACGTTGACATAATAATAAGCTACCTTTATGCTAGCATAAAAAAAATACAGGCCTAATTCTGAGAGCTAACTTACTAGAGTATGTTCTTGACTACATCCAAATACAGGTATTCCTCAATTTATGACCACAATTGAGCCCAAAATTTCTATTGCTAAATGAAACATTTGTTAAATGAGTTTTGCCCCATTTTACAATCTTTCTTGTCACAGGTTTTAAGTGAATCACTGCAGGTGTTAAATTAATAACTTGGTTGTTAAATGAATCTGGCTTCCCCATTGACTTTGCTTGTCAGAAGGTTACAAAAAGTGATCACATGACCCTGGAACACTGCAGCTGTCATAAATATGAGTGAGTTTCCAAACTCCTGAATTTTGATCACATGACCCTGGGATGCTGCAATGAACAATGGTCATATGTAACTTTTTTCCTGTGGTGTTATAACTTTGAATGGTTAGTAAATGAACTGTTGTAAGTCGAGGACTACCTGTATAGTTTGCAGCTTCAAGAGCAAAGCAAAACTAAATGGAAAGTAGGGCAGATGTTGAGGATAAGCAAGCAATTGGAACCTTCCAGAGAGGAAATGCAAGATTTGGGCAGAAATGTACAGAAGGAACATGTAGCTTAAAGTTGTCGTGTTCTTTAAATTGCTCTCTTTGGAACCATTCTTTAAAAATTGGCAGTTGATTACATGCCTATGTTTAATGTCTATTAAGCTGTATAATACGCACACACACAAACAGTAACCTTTGTGAACAGTACATGCAGAATGCAAGACAGCAGAGACTGCAGAATTTTTATATATTTCCTTTCAACTATTGTGTGTCAGGTGCCATTCCTGCCATTTTAGATATTTAGATGTGGGTACAACAAATATTATAATTAATCGTAATATCTTAAGCTTGGGGCTGAATGTTTGTAAATCTGCATTTCAGAATGGAAACAGATGTGATATAAAAACTTAGTGGCTCCCCTTAAGCTATAAGTAATGAATCAGATGCTGGGCTTTGGTCTGCCTTTCCCCCGTTCTTTAAGTGGGTGGTCTGTTCCTTTTTATATTAAAAAGAGTACACAAAAATAATTTTAAAATGATGGAAACAAGCAGGAAGAGAGCTTGGGAAGAACGTACTGAATATGGAAAGTGCTTTATATAAAATCAGACCACTAGTTCTATTTTATTATGTATTATAATCTATTGAATGGATTAAAAGTTTCTTAATTTCCTGTCCCCTAACCCAGCACTCAACACTTGGATTTAACAGTGTGCACTGCCACGAAGTTCAATTTTGGAATAATGTTCAGGAATGTCACAAAAGAAACGAGTAATTTCCTTGTACTGTCCAATATTTGAGCTTGAGCAGCTAGATCTACTTTAGAGGGGGAAAAAACAACATGGGTACAGCTCCAAAATGGCTGCTTGTCCTCACTACTAGGTTGAATTACATTTACATATATATTTACTTAGAACTAATAGGAATTTAGACTCATCTATATTTTGTTTAGGCCTTGAGCAATGAAACTCCTTTCTCCTATCCTTAAGGGTTGGATTAAAACGAAGCAAAAATCTTGCACTGCTGTAGTCAAGATTTAATTATATACCTGATTGAGGCAACTGGCTTTGCCATGCAAGCCAAGAATCCCATACTTTGTTAGTCTGAAAAACAGGATAATTTCTCATCAATACAAAAAATGGGGGTGGGGTGGGGTGGAGTGTTACATTGTTTCTATCATTTCTTCCTTCCACTGGAATCAACTGAGGGCCCTTGCACTATGCAGTTATCTTGCCTAGGACTCAGGAAGAGTAGACTAAGATTGGGATTGGCTCATAATATAAACAAATAGATATATCTTGACTTTCTTGGGACTCTATAAAATGTTCATCTCATTTCAGCATCTTATAACCAGCCATAGATTATATTTTTGAACCCCAGTGTTCGGTACAAATCCTAAATTCATGTAGATTAGCACAGTTTCTGGAAATTAAGTGAACTCATGGTATGTCTGTTTCAAAGTCTAGCTTGTAATTTGTATGAATATTGTATATTCAAAAATGCAAGGCAATACATAACTTCAAATGGGACACATAAATAGGCAGAATAAAAGAAGTAATTTACTAGATAATATTCCATAAGGTTTGGGCTACTCAGAAAATATTAAAAATAAAAATTCATGTGTCATATCACTGTGCTATGATTATTATTATTATTACTACAATTATTACTATCTGTAGTTGTTTTCCTAATGTTTACTCCAGTAATACCATATAATTTCACCAAAATTGGCTGGGTACCACCTTACCTAGGTAGCAAATCATTTGTTGAAGGAATTGTATCTAAAGGGAAGGAAAACAATAACATTGTTAATAAATTCCTTGAAACTGAAATATTTATCTTGGAACTTCATTCCATTTTTGCTTATGTTGTGGAACTCTGATTGTATTTATTTGTGTTATTCAATTCAAAGAATTTTCTGTAAAATAATACATTGTGCAATCATCATTTGGGTGGACGGATGGTATTTAGAAATATATAGCTGTGTATATAAATATGTGAAAAGGAAGCCTGTCACAAACACTACATTAGAGAATATTTTACGGCATTCAAAAAAAATGTCAAACATTGAACATTATCATGTGCCACTGTTAAAATGCCACTTTAAGGGTGGGGGTCTTGTCATTTAAAATTCTTTTTTAAGAAATATAATTAAAGAATTTATGAGTATTATATGTAAATCTTTTTAACTATCTGGAAGGCATGACCAAGGAAATCATACAAGACACCAATAGTGTAAATTTTGTACAGTATTATGCGTGTATAAATGAAGCTTGCTTGTAGGGTGAGGGGACTTTAAATAAAATCTTATGTACTAACATGCCTGTCTGACAAATCTCTGTTTAAGAATGTTTAAATTATTCAGCATTATTTGTTTTCAAAATTGCTTTCATCACATAGATACATAAAAATCTGACCATTAACCACAATTATTTTATATTGTTTCTTTGGCCTGAATCCTATTTAAAAATGCCAGGTTGTTATTTTTTGTTGAAATATGTATAATATTTTGAACATCTTGTTTTGATAGGCCAAACACCTTTAAAGGTGTTTCTTTGTAACTGAAAAGCTGGTTTTTTTAAAAAAAAATAGAAAATAAACAATACAGTTGTATATTTAATCATTAAACAATGTTGGTATATGAGAAAAAAAATGGAAGAGAGGAAAAGATTTAACAAGGCATCTTGTGTTGTGTTTTGTTCCCGGTTTCTAAATTCATGACAGCCAAAAACATTTAGTGGTATAGAGGTCAGAGTAGTTAGTGGGAGGGGAAACTAATGAATTCTAGAGAGCTTTTAATGCCATAAATGATTGTGTTAATCTGCAGCATAGATGTTGATCAGTGGAACTGAACTCAGCTCCCTGGACCTTGTCAGATTTATTCTGTGAATGTCGATGTTCCACACCAATTACAGATTTTAGAAGAGGTTCTCATGCAAAACTCCACACCCTAATATTTAAGCCAACTTAGATGTCGTTGAAATTAAAATCTAGCTGTGGAAAATCTCTGTGAACTTGATATATGAAAATCCAAATAAATTATTTGTTCACAGAAATGAAAAATAACTTCAGCAGGAAATTTCAGAAATTACTTATGCAGGATTAATCCAGTTCAATGAATGCATCTTGCATTGATTAATAAGCCATCCATGAATTGCAAACTAAAACTACAGAGTATGTGCTTTCATGTCCTTTACTGAAACTAAAACAGAGTGCGTATTCTACAAAATACACAATTGTTTATGTATTTTAATTCTAAAGGATTGTATGGGTACAATTGCATTATTACTGCATTGGCATGGTTCTGATCAACTATATTATTAGATTTAATTGTTTTACTTTTGAAAAAACTGAACTTTTGTGCAGACCAGGGCACAACTGAGTTAGACTTCTCTTTTTCTAAGGAAAAAGTCTTTGACTTTATTCTAAATCCTGACCATCTCTACACCTTGGAAGGACTGAAGCTACATCTTACAGGATATAAGAATATTTCTTCTCTCCCCTCCAGTGCTATTTCCTAAAAATATAGCATTGAATAGAAGCTTCTACTGACTTCATAGAGACT